ATGATATAATCTTGAATAATAATATATCAAATTTTTCAATTTTTTATTTAATTTGAATTATTAGAAGCTAAAATATACAATACATAAATAATTTTAATTATAAATTTTAGTTAAAGATTTTAAAAATATTTTCTAAATATCTAATAATTCAAATTAAATTAAATTTTAATATGTAACAAATAAATATATTATTTATAAAATATCAAAATTAGAGATAATTTAAATTACTGGTTGTTGAAATATTTATATATATTTGACATAAATAATATTTTATCATAACAATAAATTTTAAGTGTTAAAACATAATCTTGTATATTAATTATCTCAAAAATAAGAAATCTAAATCAGCTTAAATTTTAATATTTTATAAATAATATATTGATTTATTATATATTAAAATTTTATTTAATTTGAATCATTAGATATTTAGAAAATATATTTAATAATCTTTTAAAACTTTTAAATCAAAAATATTTATGCATTTCCATTTACATAAATATATAAGTTTACACCAATTAAAATTAAATGAAATTTTAATATATTATAGGTTGAGATTGTATCATATTTATATAAAAATTTGAACTAATTCTGATTGGTGCATCTTGAGAAATACGATGTCAAATTTAGAGTTCAAAAACTTTTAGCTATTCTCTGTAGTATTTTAGGATTATTAATTTATTAGGATTATGAATTTAGGATTATAGTATTATAGGATTATAATATTTCAGGTTTATAATATCAGAATAATAAAACTATCAGGTTTTAAATTTTAGAATTTTGAATTAAATCAATAATAAGTAACTTTTAATAAAAAATTATTATAATAAATTTATGAATAACTTTTAAAAAAAATATGAATTATAAAATTGATAATTTCTATTGAATCATTAAGATAAAAATCAATCTTTAGAACTAAATTCTAAGTTTTAAAAAATTCTGGATTTTCGCATAAGTTTGTCTTAATTATGATGCCTATCTTTAGTTACAATTGTATTGCAATTTGTATTGCAATTAAATTTATTAATGTCATAACTAAGTTGCAATTCAAATAAAATGTAAAATCAATTACAGTAACCATCTTTATTTAATATGTATGTTTAAATAAATATTCAATTAATATATTATCATTAAAAAGTAAAATAAAACATCAATAAAATAAAAAATCTTTATTAAGACTTTTAAAACTATTTAAAACTGTTTAATATCTTTACTTTTAGCTATTTTTTTATAACTAATTGAAAGTATTTTATATAAAAAGTGATTATTATTATTAGTAAAATCTATAATTTTTTAGTTGGTTTAGAAGGAATTATATTATAATACTTTTTTCATTAATTTAAATATTGTAAATAATAAAACTATACAAAAATATAAAAACAATAATATAAATAAATAATATAAAATATATAAAAAAGTTGAAATGTTAAAATTATTAAAATAATTGATTATGCAGATTTTTATAATGTAATAATTTTGATATAATATTATATATACTAAAAGATATAAATAATGATAATAATCTCTATTTAATCAATATCTATTTAACTAAATTATAATAATAAAAGTTTTTTTTTATCATTAAATTTAATAATTTATTCTAAGATTATAAAATAAAAAAAACTATTATTATTTATAAATTTTAGTTTAACTAATTAATTTGTAAAATTATTTAATATTTTATTTAAATAAATTATTAAATAAGTAATTAAAAGAATTAAAATAAATACATTTTTAATAATATTAATTTATATAGAGAAAATAGAAATAAATATTAAATATAGTTAAAAAAGAATATCATAATAATTATATTAATAAAATAGTAGTAAATAATAAATTCTTATATTTAAATATATTGAATAAAGTAAATTAATTATAAAGGATTATATTATTAAGTTATTTATAAATTTTATAATTAATATAATAAATCTAAAAAAAAAATCTAGCATAATAATTGATCAATTTTTAATAATATAGTAAAAAAAAAATATTTATCATATAATATAATATAATTATATGAGACCTTTGCGAAAGAGGGGAAAGAGGGGAAACTGCCGGGAAAAATAAAAAATGAATTAATGCAAATTTGAACCCAAAAATCATATATTAAATTCTTTATTATGAAAATTTTAAGTTGTTTTATAATATATTAATTAATTTAAAATAATTAAATTTAATTTATAATTTATATAATTTAAACATAACTGTCATTTGTAAAATATATACTGTAATACTGTAAATAAGACGAATAAATAAAAATTCTTTCCCGATTAAAACTATCATATTTTTAATAAACTATTTCTCTTACAGAATATGGAATAACCTTAATTAATAAAAATTTTTATAAACTATTATTTGCTTATTTATTATATGAATTAAAAAAAAAGATAACAATCATACGTTTATCGTTAAAAGCTTGACTTAAATTTCGAATTTATTAAATTTTAATATTTATACTGTAATTCATAACCTGAATTTTTTAATATTGATTTTATCAAATTAACGGAAACATTGGAATGACTCATATATTGTTAGTCTGATAAATTTTAAATCAAATTATTCTTTTTTCCGAGTTCAGATATAATAGAATTCTCAGTAATTATGGAAACATCTATAGTACATTGTTTACGCACTATAATATGATAAGGCGTATTCTTTCATTTCGCCGAAGCAACTCAATCGGGTGAACTATCTTCTAAGGAAATCCCTTTCCATTTTAGAGTAGCATTAGTTTATAAACATTACCTCAAATTGACAAATAAATATTTAATTAGTTAGTTTACATTTACTTTTTTGGAAATTTATTTATAGATAATCAAAATGCAAGACAGTTTTATCTATACCCAATCAAGCCACCGTATGAGAATTCGTCATTGGGTAAAGCACTAGGTAATTTTATTTAACGTTTTAATAAAAAGAGTTTATTTGGTTCTCTGTTTTAATATATTTTCATTTTTAATGTAATGCTATTCTTACATTTACAGTAATAAAAACTAAATATATTGGATTGATTCGATGTCCTACCAAATATAAATTTTCAATCGAAAAATTTAATTGGTCGAAAATACACATACATTGATCAATTGATTAAATTTAACCATCCATTTTATATGGTTCTTCCTATCAGCATATTCACTTGTCATTAAATAAATGACAATAAACTTGAATAACAAAAATTTGTTTTTGGTAAAAAAGTAATATTGATTTGTGGATTAAATATAATACTTAGGTATATATTCCTTTAAAACATTAACAATATATAAGAAAGAACATTAGGAACCCTTTAACTTAATAGATAGACAGGTGGTAAGTACGTCTTTCAATAAACAATAATTGAATATTCTAACAATACCTATTTTATCGTAAATTCTTTGATTGTAGTTTGATGTTGTCAAATAATGATCATTTTTATTAAACAGAAGGTCTAACATTGGGAATTAATTAAAAATCCCGTCCATTGATCTATTTTCAATTTAACGCTCCAGATTTCCATTATGACTCCTTCAACAATGATTTTTATTGTAAAATCCATCAACAGGATATGAATCAGGTTAATATTGATTAAATTCTAATCACCCAAAAAGTCTTCGCAAATGATCTATAATAATTTCAACATAATTTATTAAAAGATATAGTAGACAAAAAATACAACAATATAATATGCGAGATTCAATGATAACTTACAACTTGTGGTAACTCCAGTATAATCGATAATAATTTCACGTGATTATTATATGATTTCCATTAGTATAGAACTAGATTCTTTAATCAAATCATAAACTTGTAAATAAGTTGCTGCGAAAAATGATGTTCTTTCGATTGGTTAATTTTGCTAAAATTGAAAAGGATCATCAAATATTTCTGTCCAATTTTGTCTAACTTTCTTGTCCTCCCAAAGATCAATCTACTGATTTAGTAAGGAAAGTATCGTCAACGTTTGTGCGCTTTACTGCTTCCAAATTCAGTTTATAACTTTCTGTCAAATAAATAATACTGTAAATAATCTTTATACAGGTGATCTTACGTAAGATTCTAAAAACTTGATTTTACGTAACGCATACTTAAGATTTTTAATCTTCCGAAAAAAAACAAAATTTTATTGATAAAAAAAAAAATATCATATATCTCCCGCAGCAAAGGACAGAAAGTAAAAAAAAAAAATCTAAAAAAATCGTGGGAATTTTTTTTTTATGCAATCTGGCGTTTTTTATTTTTACGTAACTTGTCATACTATCATTAGGAGTCAGACCAAATTATTACATAAGGATTTATGGAATTTCGAACTGAGAAAATCGAATTCGATAAACTTTTGATTAATATAACTCGAGCATCTCTTATGATTTCATATATTTAAAAATTACAAATATTTTTAAACCTTTTCGAAGGTTAAAATATACTTTTTAATATTTTGAGTATATTGGATATTGAATATTGGAATTTGTTTCGGTGATTTATTATTGTAAACAATATAAAGTATATATATAAAAAACTTTATAGTCAAAGTGTTTATCACGTTGACAAACTTACCAAATTAAGCTTTTTACTCGTTATACAAGTATATGCATTTTCTACAGTCGATATAAAAGAACGAACTTTACATACTTGACTAAAAAAAAGGAAATTTCCAAGCCGTTTTTTTACCTTCGAAAAAAACAAAAACCTTTCTATTCTTAAATTATCTACTTGGTAAATACCATCGTTGCTTGTAGTGAAAACAACCCGTTGTATTCTTATGTAATTTATTTTAATATCCTCTCAAAACTTTGAAGGGTTTTCTAAAATTCCTTCGCGAAAAGAAGTTTACATAAACCACCAAAGTATATTTCTTTCTCTCCAAAAAGGTAATATTCACTTGATTCCTGTGTAAAACATGTAAAACAAATGATTTGCTTGATACCATTTGAAATATTATATATTCTGCATTACTATAGTCACCTTTTCTCTTCTATATACATTAACGTGTTTGTACATCTTCTCTTAAACATAATATAGCTACTTAAATGATGGAAGATTACAAAACTTTCAGCTCAAGAGCTTTTCATGGTTACTCTATTACTGCTCACATCAATGGAATTTTTGACAACTCCTACTATCCAATGGTCAATACTAAGGGTATCGCAACTCGTCAAGATATTCATTTTCCTAACCATCCTAGTGACGTTAAAGATGAATATTACAACGGCATTATTCGTTATGACGTTCGTCTTCCAAACCGACCCTATGAAGTTAGTGATGTCGTTGACAGCACTGCCATACAAATTAACGGCGACACTGGAACTTTCAAGGAATCATTCGGAATGGTAAAGAATGCTACCGGTCGTTATTTCTTGGTGGAATCTACTAAAATGAAAGTAAATGGGAAGAAGGAATTTAATCCTTATGCTAAAGAATGGCTACCTAAGAATAAAATAATTGGAAATGTCCCAAATTATTCTGTAGCTTCGTCAAAGTCCGGATCTTCGTTAGAAAGAACCGTTACATTTGTTGGTATCCCAGAAACTCGATCCTTAAACCTTAATGAAGAGAAGGTAACAAAATTTAACGACAACTTATCCATCAAAGATAAAACTCCTGGAGCTGAAGAATGTACTCATAAAGCTGAATTTAACGGCAACATTTCGAATCGAAAATGTGGTATTAAAGTTTCAAGTCCTATCACTACCAACTATAAAGACTTCAGTTATCAAGGCGAATTCAGAGAAGCTGAGTTCAAAAAGAATGAAAGCAGAGCAAATGGCTTCGTTAAAGGCATACCTACCAGGAATAAACAAGCGATGATCGGCAAGGAATTACGAGCGGCCTCAATTCTTACCGAAGATGACATCAAAAACTCAAACGAAAACTTTAGTATTCAAATGATGAATAAATCCAAAAAGCAGGTTTGCATTAATAATGCCAGTTCCAACTTCATTTCCGTGAAAGCCGCGAATGATAGTGATATTATATTAAATACAAAAAAACCTGTACCATTCGTTGTGGGTGCGCCGGTTTGTCGTCTCGAAAAGTCTTTAATCAAATGCCCTCTTAAGAAGGTTGGCCGTGAAGATACTACGGATGAGGTCATCGTCTACAAAGGGAATGAAAGGGCTATAGGAAAAGTCAGAAAAGTCATAGAAGAATCAAATACTCGCGAACAGGGAGAAATAAATAATGATTCGTCACTTAAAGTAGACATGTCATTTGCACAACTAACGACAGTCAATGAAACGATCGAGAACATAAAACGTAGCAATGGGTTGTTCATGTTCTCACCTGAAACACCTGAAATCACTACTCCTTCTACTGCGGTTAAGCCGCTCACATGGACTGGTTTGCATTGGGTTACTGAACCTTCACGCTGGCTATGTGTCTCAAACTTCCCATTTGAATCCGAATACTATCCTTATTTGAGACTCTTGTTTGAAGTAAGTGTTATCATATTGTAATCACATTTCAAATAATGCATTATTAATATATTATATCTTAATACCGTTTCTAGGCATATGGAGACGTTCGCGAAATATATTGCGGTTCTAATGGAATTGCTTACGTCTTTTATTACGATATTAGAGATGCGATAAAGGCACAAAATTTATTAAGGCATAAAGAGGCTCCTCATAACGGAGGAAGACTTGACGTCAAGTTTAGTCAAAAGCCAACGAACGTCAATAGAGTATATACAATACTTGACTTTTCTTTTTTTTTTCACACGTTCATCTTAATTTACAATTGGATCTTTAAATATTGTCAGTTGACGCATTTATATCCACCAATCGGCTTGCCAGAACGACAAAATGAAGGTAGCCTGATCATTTATCATACTGCACTTGCAAATGAATCAGCTGTAAAGGCCCAATTCAGCAAGTACGGGACTATTAAAAAATTTAAATCTCAAACATACGAGGATTTGCGAGTAATAATTCTCGAGTATTATGACTTAAGAAACGCGAATTCAGCCAAAGAATCTTTGAATGGACAAAAAATACAAGTGGGTTTTCAACATATTCATTGGCTTTGTTAATAATTCATTTTTAAATATCATCGTTAATTAATAATAATAGGGCACGACTTTGACTATCGAATTCCATGATCCAAGCGCACATTCGTGGGACATAATAACCCACGAAATCTCCAGCCGCAAAATGGCTCCAAAACTTGCCACGAAAAGTTACCCAGCACCACCAGTGACGAGCACAGTACATTCGTCTGGGAATAGAATGATTCCTTTGAAGAATCGTTTGAATCTCGAAAATATCAAGCAAGGTATTTTTAATTTTATTCTCTTGATATTATTATTTCTAAATTTCCATAGTGATCAAATCCATATAATTTTTTCATATATAAACAGGGCTTGACGCTCGGACTACATTCATGGTCCGAAATATTCCAAATAAATACACGCAAGAAATGTTGCGCGCAGAACTTGACGAAACGCACAAAGGCAAATACGATTTTTTGTATTTGCGTATCGACTTCGCAAACAAGTGTAACGTTGGTTACGCTTTCATAAATTTCGTAGATATCAAGTAAATAAATTATTTTATATAAATGTTAATTTTAAATTAACAAATATAATCTGATTATTATAAATTATTTCTATTAGCGCGGTGATATTGTTCTCAGAAACGCGTGTAGGTCGAAAATGGGCCTGTTTTAACTCGGACAAAATCTGCGAGTTATCATACGCGGATGTACAAGGGTATCCTGCACTTGTCGAAAAGTTTAAGACATCAAGGTAATTAATTAAATTTATATTATTGAATGCTTTTGTTAACATAAATTGATTTTCATTTTATTCTTCTACCTTGATAGCGTAATGAGGGAAAGGCCAGAATATCGTCCAAAGGTATTCTTCACTTCGGGGCCCATGAAGGGTATGGAGGCTCCTTTTCCATACATCCCGACCCGAAAATAAGGGTGTATGTTTTCTCTCGCCGCTTAAGGGATAAATTTTTTTTTTAAAAAAAAAAAAATTGCAAAAAATATTGGTGTAAAACAACAGAATTGTACTGATTGCAAAATTTAAAAAGGATTATATGTAATTATTATTAGGAGGGTTTATAAATTAATTAGCATGTATTACTATTTTAAGGTATTTACTTATTTTATGATTATTTATAATTTATTATTTTAATGGAAAAAAAAATCCGGTTTAATTATGATAATTTTATGATCAAAATTTCTAATTGAATTTTCGTTGTTGAAAGTTTAATTATAAGTTTAAAAAAAAATTAGTCAAAAAAAAAAAAAAAAAGAAAATTTAGGTATGTCTGTTTTGGTTTTAAAAATTTATTTGCTTCGCAAAATTTAATAATAAATTTTTTTCTTAAAATGTACCTTCAATCTTTCAATTAAAAAATAAATTCTGCATCGGATATGACGCTAAGAACCAGAGGTTGAATCGGCCAAAAAAATTTTATAGTCGACTAATTAGTCAACTAACAAAGTAAAATAATCCTATTGACCGATATCAATCTCTGTGATAGGCCAAAATTATCTGGCAAAAATAATTCCTTCAAGGCATTATAATCATTTCGTGATTTATAAAATTCATTTATTTTGAATTCTCGTTAATCATTTAAGCAAAACGCTGATCTAAATGTTTGAGGAATATCACTATTCTAAAATATTTTTAAATACCATATATGGTTAATAACCAGTAACTAAAAATTTTAACACAAGTAATCATATTGATATTACTTATTTTCCGAGTGCCCAATGTATTATATACAGTATATGGAAGGCGGTCAGTAGAAATCAAAATATTTGTTAATTTTTTATTATTAAGCTAAATTTGTGTACATGATCGAGATCAGCCAAGTGGTCCAATTAGAGCTCCGAAAAGGTCGGGTCAGGTCGGGTAATTGACTTGACCCGACCTGATAAGGTCAGGTCGGGTCAGACATAAAAATTGACCTGAATTAAATATACATTTGATCCGACCCGACCTGATCTGACTTGTCTAAAAAAGGAATTTTTTTAGTTTTACTAGTTTAACAATATTTATATTCAAATATAAAAGTAATATAATTATTAAGAAACTAAACAATTATTAATTTTGTTTAAAAAATATAGATACATTTTTACATATGATTATTTTTCAAAAAAAAAGATTATTAATATAATAATATTTTAACTGCAGAATTTAAAATTGCAAGTTGTGATAAATCTGCAAATCAGATAACTGCTAATACAATTATGAAAAATGTTCATAACTTTACAATTATTAATCCAATTATAATAAAATTTTATATGCACATATTTTTGAACCAGCTGAACAATATTACTTATGCGACTAAAGTTGATTTCCTTTAACCAAAATGCTTAAATTGCTTTTTGAAATACTATACAGATAAAAAATAAAAATAAAAAATTCATAAGATAATACAATTATGAAAAACTTGTATAACTTTATAACTATTAATTCAATTATAATAAAATTTATATTCGCATATTTTCGAATCTGCTAAACAACTTTACTTATGCAATTAAAGTTGATTTTCTTTAACCAAAATACTCAAATAGCTCTTTGAAATAATTGAACAGATAAAAAAAATTAAAAATAATTTGTTAATTAATATAATTGCAAAAAATATTTATAATTTAAAATTTAACTTTTTGATTATAATAAATTACAAAGTAATTATACAAACAACCTTATTCAAATATAAAAAAAAAAACAAAATTAAATATGTTTTAAAAAAAATAGATGAAAATAAATTTTATTTTAAATATTTTATTTCATTTAATTTGATTAATTGATCTGAATTTTATCAGATCAGATTATAAGTTTGATCTGATTTGAAAATTTGTCTACCCAACCTGGATTTTTAGGTCAGATCAGATCAGATCACAGGTTAATCTGACTTTGATTCAGAACTCTAGGTCTAATAATATAAATTTTGATCAAAATTTGGATTTTCTTCTTTTTTACTGACCATTTTCTATATATTATATACACTACCTGGAAATAAGTTTGCGCAGTCAGTTTTTCAGAATTTATTCAAAATCGTATATAATAAAAATCAATATATTTTGGCACCAATCGAAAGCCCTGCTTCTAGTTTACATGTCTATTTGTTATTGTTGCACACAAAATAAAAAAATAATTTAAAATCACAATAAACATTGCGGTTCTAAAAATTAATCTGACAATTTATTCATAACATAATGGAACTTACCGTTATAGAATAAGCACAAATAATCGGATTATACAAAAGTGGCTATAGAAAGTCTGATATTGTTAAAATTATGAATTGGCCAGAGTCTACAGTTAGAACAACAATTTTACGATATGAAGATTCAGATGACATGTTGAGCAAAAAAAGAAGTGGTCAGCCTCCGTTATTTGACGATAAAGATCGCAAAATTTTAAAAAAAATTGTTAATAAAAATAATAAAGCTTCAGCTGATATGTTACAAAAGAAATTTTCAGCATCAACTGGCCAAAATATTTGTACTAAATCTATTCGAAAGAATTTGCATCAAATTGGATACAACTCCCATTGAGCTGCAAAAAAACCATTTTTAAATGAAAATCAACGCCAAAAACGGCTAGAATAGTGCTTAGAAAAACAAAATTGGACAGTGCAACAATAGAGAAATGTCATATGGAGTGATAAATCAAAGTTTACTCTTTTTCGTAATGATAGTCCCTCCTGGGTTTGGCGTAAACCGGGCACTCGTTTTAATATTGAAAACCTGAATCCATCCGTTAAACATGGTGGTGGGGGAGTCATGGTTTGGAGATGTTTTTCAGGCAAAGGATTGGATTCTTTAGTGAAAATAGTAGGAATAATTAATCGACATGATTATATAAAAATTTTAGATGATAACTTGTTGCCATTTATTAATTCAAAGTTTCATAACTGATCTTACAAATTTCAGCATGATAATGCACCCATTCACATGGCTAATGATGTTAAAGCATGGGTTACTGAAAAAAAAATTAAAATGCTAATTAATTGGTCTACTCAATTTCTGGATTTAAATCCCATTAAGCATCTTTGGAATCATCTTGAACGTTCGTTGTGTAACCGTTCAGATCTACCTAAAAATCTTGCAGATTTAGAAGTGCAACTAAAAGAAGAATGGAAAAAAATTCTGCAAGAAACTTATCTAAAATTAATTGATAGTATGCCTCAAAGAATAGAAGCATATATTGCCAATAATGGATGACTAACCAGATACTAATATTTTGTTAGAAAAAATGATAATAAACTATTTTTTGTTAGAAAAAAAAGATAATAAACTATTTTTTTAAAAAATCACGCAAACTTATTTCCAGGTAGTGTATATATATCTAGAATTTAAATACAGCGTAATATTCCATAGATTTATAATTTTCGTAATATTTCAGAGTATTATGTTGTAAAATTACACAAGTTTATGAGTTTGTAAGATCTATAAAACATTATGATAAAATCTTACGTAAAATTACAGATCGTATTTTTTATGTAATATTACAATTAAAATCCTTCATAGGGTTATGATATCGTAAGATTTACAATATATTATGGTAAAATCCTATGTAAGATTATATATCATAATTTTTTACATAATATTACAGTCGAAACCTTATATAGGATTATGGTATTGTAAGATTTATAAAATATTATGGTAAAATCTTACATAAGGTTACAAACTCGTAAATTATGAAATATTACAGTGAAATTCTATGTAAGATTTCAGAATCATACAAAATCTTACGATTTCTCATTATAAATTTAAAATTAATGATACATGTATTGCATTATTTAATATAAACAATAAGCACATACTTTATATCTTTTATTGATTCATATATATTTTTAGTATTTAAGAGATATCAATTTTAAAACAAATATTCTAATAAAATAACATGTTAAAAATTATAATTCAAAATTGTATGCACATGTTAACATTAAATATATTTAATTCAACATAAGTTTTAATTAAATTCCTGTATTAAAAATATATAATTAGGGATGATGATCTTCTGCTTTAAGCAGAAACTCGCAGATTTATGAAAATTAACAGATTATCGCAGATTTTTAAAAAAATTGTGTTCTATATACTAATCATATTAAATCTTTTTTTTAAGATTTATTAATTTTTTTATATGTTTTTTGTGTTTAAATGTCAAGAAAAATGATTTAGATGAAAGGAGTTTTTTAATATATACTTATATTTTAAATAATAATTGTCAAAACCTTTCTGAAAAGATAAACATAATATATTTTAATGTGAATTAATTTTGAAAAAATTTTATAATAAAAAAATCAGATTTTAAAAAATGATGTAAAAAATTATAGCGATAAAATGATAATTGTAAGGGTCACTGAAACATTGTAATTTTAGAACAGATTTTACAAAATATCGCTATAGGAGATCATCATATATATAGCGTTGTAGAGTCAACAATTTCAATATTTAAGGCATAACAATACAAAAGGAAATGATCAATATTATACAGTAAAAAGTCACAAAGAAAGTCATATTATAAAAGAAAAATAATAATTTTATTAAGAGAAAGAATAATACTCGGATAAATTACAGACTGAAAAAGGAAGATTACACGAGTCAGATAAATCATGGAAGAAAATGATTCAGATAAATTAGTTACCAAAAGAAAAAGGATAATTAATTAACCGAACGAAGGGTCAAGGAAAAAGGATAATTAATCAACCGGACGAAGGGTCTTATAAAAAGACTTGGAAAATATTTGAAAAATAACAACTGAAGAAGTTACACGAGGATGTGCGAAGGTTACACAAAAGGCACACTCGTTGGGAATGACAAACTGGACCACATGGAAGCTTGTGTAACATAAAGGTTACACATAACATCATAATCGAAATGGAAATCAGAAGAAGAACGGAAGTTAGTAGTGATACGAAGTACGGAAGAAAGACAGAAGTGCGAAAAAGTAAGAAG